TTTTTTTTGAGACAGAGCCTTGCTGTGTGGCCTAGGCTACAGTGCAGTGGTGTGATCTCGGCTCACTGCAACCTCCACCTCCCTGGGTTCAGGTGATTCTCCTGCCTCAGCTTGCTGAGTAGCTTGGACCACAGGTATGCACCATCACATCCTACTAATTTTTGTATTTTTCATAGGCATGGGGTTTTGCTATGTTGGCCGTGTTGGTCTTGAACTGGCCTCAAGTGATCTGCCCACCTTGACCTCCCAAAGCGCTGGGATTATAGGTGTGAGCCACCTCACATGGCCAATCCTTCAAATATTTTTACATGAAATATACACAATTCCTATTTCTTCAGAGTATAAGCTGAGTATAAGCCATAACTTTTTCTCCTTGCTTTCTCTCTGCCTTCCCTCCACTTTGCATACACATGTGTACACTTTTCATTGAGTAATACCTTTAATTTGTAGACCAATGTTTGGTATTCATTGTTAGTCCAAGAACGAGAAACAGTCTCTCCATAGAATTGTTCGTCTGCCCATCTCTAAGCCTGACAAATACACAGAGCTAAAACCTGGACAAAGGATGTTAGAGACAGAATGCTTATTCTCAGGTGTCACAAGGAAAAATTAGCATTCAGACAAAAAGTTTTCCCAGCAAGGCAATTTTACTTTCTGCAGAAAGGGTGCAGAAAGGAGAAATGCTATTTTTTTCCTCACAACACCTAAAAACAAGCATTCTGTCTCTAACAAATGACATTCCCATGTAATGACAGCCACAAATGAGGAAGACCTCTAAAGGTCACCTGTAAATTGCTGTCATGATAGACTCCTAACATAATTAACAGGTAAAGAGAGTTTTTGCTCAGAACTCTCAGGTGAAGAAGTTGCTTGTGTTAGTGTCTCTGTTTTGAAAATGTTGAGAAATGTATAATACGCCAGCCACAGTCTCGACTGCTTTTGTCTTTTCATTAAAAGGGCTATTATGTTTTTATTTCCAAGAAATTACATGCTTTTTTTTTTTTAAGTGAGATGGAAGAAAATATAGATATGAGATGCTAAATAAGAGTATAGCCTGTTTTAAATGGGTACACTTAACACTTTTATAATCCTTTATATATTACCATGCCCTTGATGGCCCAAATCTCCCTGAAGGTCAGGATCCATCCTCTTAACACATTAGGGTGCCTTAATATTACTTATTAATATTTATCCTTAAGAGGATGCGTTAAGTGAAGCTCATTGATAATTTCACAAGTTTGAGACTGCAAACTTAGAAGCATTAGTATGGCCAGGTGAGGTGGCTCACACCTGTAATCTCAGCATTTAGGGAGACTGAGGTGGGGAGGTTTGCTTGAGACCAGAAGTTCAGGACCAACCTGGGCAGCATAGCAAGATCCCCATCACTACTTACAAATATTATTTAAAAAATAAAGCCTTAGAAGCATTAGCAGGTAGTGAGACTGTGTCCGCACCAAGCAGACATCCCGTAGGCACAGAGGGGTGGGACCAAATTGGAGCCAGCACAGAAATTCACTCAGTAATGGAATCTTACAAAGGGTCCAAAGAAATGGACCTGAATCATGACACAGAGGTTTCCTTGTGGTCACTGTTCTCTGCTTAAGAACACAGGTATTCTTTTTTTT